AATATATATATGTGTCTCCTTTTCTTATTAACTTACTATTTCTCTTGTCTCCTCATCAGGTCTATTAATAGACACAATTACCTCAAAGGCATTTCTTAATTCTTTTAGTAAATTGTCTCCTCCTTTGTCTCCTGTACCCTCACATACCCCTACTACTACCACGGGGGCCCCCTGGGGGCCCCCCAGGGGGCCCCCACCAACCTCAGACCAGGCGACCCCTCCTATCTGCCTGTGGGGCCCCAAAAACCAACGTAAATGAGCAGCTAAGAGAGCCTACACACGCATGCACACACAGGAGCCCCCCTCTCCTACAAACCCTAAACCCTAAACCCTAAACCCTTGCTGGCAGGCTATACAATACCACACATAAACACAGGGGGCCTCCAAGAGACGCACCACAGTAGAACTACAAGAGGGCCCTCAGGGGCCCCTCCAATGGGTACGGGGGCCCATAACGTGTAATGATTAGCAGCTGGAGAGGCCTATTAAGTGTTAGGAGGAGAAGAGACAAATAAGGAGAGGAAGAGGAGAGGAGAGACAGAAGGGAAGGAGGAGAGACAGATAAGAGAAGGAGAAGGACACACTACCTTACATCTAATCTATCTTGACGAGAAGAGGGGGCCCCTGGGGCCTCCATTAGGGTAGTAAGGTTCTGCAGCAAGATGACGCAGGGGCCCCCCCGGTGGGCCCCCTCTACAAGAGCAGCAGAGAGGGCACTATTGCCACCAGGGGCAACAGACCCATCTGCATGCACTATACCCTCTGCAGCAGCAGCAGCAGCAGAGACAGCAGCAGCAACAACAGATGCAGCAGCAGCAGCAGGGAGGTCAGAATCAAAGTAACTCCATACAAACTGCAGCACAAGCTGCACATGCAGCAGCTGCAGCAGCTGCAGCAGCAAAAGGGCGACCAGCACCATTGATTAACGGCTATCGTGACTCTGCTGCAGAAGTGTCTCCTTACTTGCTGCTGCTGCTGCTGCTCCCGCTGCAGCAGGAGACAGTGCAGCACAATTAAGGGAGAGACAATTAAGGCCTAATGTATCACATACACGTCTCAATAAGAAAAGGGCCCCACACCTGCACCAGCAAGGAGACAAAAGGAGACACAAGGAGACACAAGAAGACAATAATAATATAAAAGGAGCAACAAGGAGACAAAAGGAGACACAAGGAGAGAAAAGGAGAGAAAAGGAGACAAAAAATATTATTTGCTTACTTTGTGTCTCCGCATAGTAGAAGACTTCCTCTGTCTCCTCTTGCTGCTAAAGGAGACACCTTAGAGGCAATATAGCGGAGCAGCCTGAGGCAGCAGCAGCAGCGCAGCAGCAGCAGCGCAGCAGCAGCATAACAGCAGCAAATGACATAAAAGGAACAGAAGAGAAACAAAAAGGAGATAAAAGAAGACAAAAGGAGACATACCTGTCAAAGGGGCCCCTCAAGGATGGCAGCAGAGGCAGGGGGGCCCTCCGCAGCAAATTGAATAACTGCAGCAAATAAACAAATAGAAAACAATTAAGTGTCTCCTTTAAGGAGACAAATACACCAATAGATAGCAACTGCAGCAGCAGCAGCAAAAGGAGCAGCAGCAGCAGCAGCAGCAGCAGCAGTAGGCTCACTAAGAACGGTGGGGGGGCCCCTCTGATAGGGGCCTCCTGCAGCAAGAGATCTGTTCCGTCTCTAACAACAACCGCGCACAAGGGGGTGTTGCGGCCCCCTTGGGGGGCCCCTGGGGGGCCCCCTTCGCCTGGGGGCCCCCCTGTAGGGTCTTGATTAGTCTCTAAGAGAGAAACACGAAAGACGAACGCAACGTCATGGAGTGTCTCTGCAGCTCCCCATCCGAATACAGCATCTGCGGGGCCCCAATGGCATAGTGGGGCCCCCCTTGGGGCCCCCCTGCTGAAACAAGGGGATCGCTCCAGTACCCTTTGTGTTGGGGGCCGTTGCAGGAGACGCTTAGATGGGGAAGGAGCCCCCTCATGTCCTTCTGCTGCTCCTCCTTCTTTACGTGGTTCCTCCCCATTATCCCGGGGGTCCCCCTGGGGAGGGTCCCCGAGCTCTGTGGGCCCATTAGAGACACTGGGGGCCCCTATAGGCCCCTCAACAAAGAGGGGCCCCCAAGAAGGGCACCTGTTTTCCTTCAGCAATAAACGAGACCTTAAACGCATGCAACGGGGGCCCCCCTGACCATACCGCTCTGCATGCTCTACCTCATGCAGAGACAAACAACAGGGACAGTTAGCGGGGGCCCCTACAGGGCCCCCCGACCTGTTGGGGGCCCCTTGTGGGTCAACCTTGGGGGCCCCTTCCGGGAGGGCCTCTTGGGGGCCCCCCCCACTGCAGGGGCAACCGGCGGAGGGGGCCCCATACCTATAGGGGACCTTTAATACAGCAAACGTGTCTCCAAGAGAAAGGAGACGGGGGACGCAGAAGAAGTCTACGAGGACATCTTGGGTGTCTCCTTTTGCCTCTAAGGAGGAAGAAGGATAGAGGGGGCCCCCCCCATTGGGGGCCCCCAAGGGGGCCCACGTGTCTATATTTGGAGGGTACAGTTGCTGCAGCTGACAACGACGAGCTATAGGTAAACCACGGAAGGGAGGAGGCAAAGACGAACCACTGGACCCTGAACCAAAGCAGCAGCAGCAGCAGCAGGAACTGCAGAAGCAGCAGCAGCAGCAACAACGAGGACGGCAGAAAAAGTGTCTCCTGCATGCAGCAAGTGTCTCCTTACTATTAATAATGTCCTTTGCCTCCCATACATTTATTTCTCCTCCTGCAGATACACCTAGACTATGCAGTACCCCCCCAGGCAAAAATATACAAGGAAGCTCAGTGGGCCCCTCGGAGGGCCCCTCAGCCGGGGCCCCAGGGGCACCTTGGGGGGCCCCCTTGGAGACCTCCGGGGGGTGACTGTGAGGAGAGGTTGTAGATAAAACACCATTGACGGGGGGACCCTTTGTTTCCTCTCCTACAGAGGCAGTAGGGGAGGGGGCCCCTATTGGGGGCCCCCTCCACTTCCCCTTGGGTACTGAAAGGGCCCCCAGCCAACAGCGACAGGGGCCCCCAGTAGGGTCCTCGGGTCTAGACGGAATGGCTAGAAGCCGCACAAGACGGCGGGGGCCCCCCCTAGGGTCTATTTGGGGCCCCCTCTGAGGGCCACACTGAGGGGCCCCCAGAGGATAACGAGCAGGGGCTACCCATACCCAGGTATTAGGAGGAATACCTAAAGAAGAAAGAGAAGAATAAAAACAAATTGCTTCTCTATTTGTGTCTCTTAATAAACAAATATCTTCTTTTGCTGCAATAGAGGGAGAGGGGGGGCCCCCTGTAAAAGGGGTATTTGTATCCGAGGGTACAGACGGGTGGCTGGGAGATGGGGCCCCTAAAAAGGCCCCCGAAGAACGGTAGAGGGACGTGAATTGGGTGCTTATGGGGTAGCTGCAGCGCACGCACGGAGAAAACCCTAAACCCTAAACCCTAAACCCTAAACCCTAGAAAAGGGTTTTAGTGGGCAAGCGGCAGTCAGTCTTCGTCTAAACCCTTTGCTATGTGTCTTAATTATATTAAGGAGTGTTTTTAATTTATTCTTTAAAAGAAGACAACTGTCTAGGGTTTAGGGTTTAGGGTTTAGGGTTTAGGGTTTACAGGAGCCTAAGGGCCGTAGCCCGTCTTCTACCATCATCAGCATCCATAGGGAGAAAAAAAGAAGAAAAAAAAAATAAAAAAATAAAAAATAAAAATAATTATTAATTAAGTGTTTTTTTGTGCATTTTTTTCTTTAATGAATAAAGAAGCTCGATTTAGGAGTGGGGCCCCCAATTGGGGGGCCCCCTTTGTTTGGGGGCCCCCCCCAAAAGGGGGCCCCCTTAGAGGCCCCCAATTGGACCCCCTGCTTGAGTAGAGGGGGTTTAGCGGGTATAAGAGGAGGAGTTGCTGTTTGGCGAAAAATAAATTAATAAATGTATAATGGGGGGTTTAGGGTTTAGGGTTTAGTGTTTAGGGTTTAGGGTTTAGGGTTTAGGGTTTGTGTGTGTGAAGGGGGGTTGTTGTAATGGGTATATTGGGGTGTATACTTATCTTTTCTTGTTGTGTATTTTCCTCAATAAGAATAATATAATAAATAAAAGAATATTTATAATTTATTTAATTAAATAAATAAAGAAAAAAGAGGCAAAAAAATAATCTTTTATTGCATGCATGCATGCATATATTGGGGTGTATAGGCAACATGGGGAAAACAACAAAAATAAATAATATACACCCCTCTTCTTCTCCTTCCTCTTCTTCTTCTTCTTTCTCCTCTTCTCTCCCTTTTTCTTCTTCTTCTTCCTCCTCCTCTTCCTCTTCCTCTTCTTCTTCTATGCCTCTTCCTTCCCCTCTTCCTCCTCCCCCTCCCCCTCCCTCTTCCTCTTCCTCTTCCTCCTCCTCCTCTTCCTCCTCTTCCTCCTCTTCCTCTTCCTCTTCCTCTTCCTCTTCCTCTTCCTCCCTCCCTCCCTCTCCCTCCCCCCCCTCCTCCTCCT